TAGAAACTGTACAATTATACGATCTCTATTATAATGATTATAATCATTAAATTGCATGAAGTGGTTTTATCGTCCAATACTCTCAATATGATCGTTTTAAGTGCACTACACCAAATCAGTAAGTCATAATTAGGCATTAAAGGACATGCATAGATGCGAAAAAAACATTGTGGTTTTTATACTCTCCAGGAAATGCACTGCCAAAAAAAACACACCTAGTTTCTTAGATAAATTCTGACGTAACAGAATCGTAACATCTTCCGTGAACTCGTTCACAGGGCCGATGGCGTGCAAAACAGGGTATCGTGACAAAATCCTCTTAGTAGGCGCACAAGTTTTCAAGCGGAGTGGGGCAAGATGCAAAGCGTAGAATAAACTGAAATCTGAATTAAGATTTTCGGGAAGCAGCAAATGAACTTTTTTTAAATTCTAAATAGTCGCATGCAACGATGCGGAACTTTGAAATTGCACGTCAGTTGCAGGTTATGCTATTCTGGGAAATTCTATAGGATTGTAAGGTTTAGTAACTCTAGTTTCAACCTAGGTTCTATGCCGAATGTGAAACTCTACGGACAGCAGTATTTAATACATACATCTTATACATCGCAGACAAAAAAAACAACAACAACAAAACAAACGGGCACCATCCATTAAAAAAATAAAAATATATTTACCTTCAATATTCAGATGATTTTTATATCTTTTACCATTGCATAGTAGATTTTTTTTCTTTTCTTCAAGGTATTATCTGAATCAAAAGTTTACTTGTCATTTTAGTACCATTATTTTTTTAGGTCACTGAATTTTTTGATTGTCAAAATTTAGGATACATTATCGGATCATTTCAAAGTCACAAACATCCAAAGCCACCCCATATTGACAATTACGATATTCACTTTTCATGGTAACGCATGTTTTTAAACGCGCCTATCAGAAAACTAAATGGCGTTTGTCAATACGAAACGTATTCTAGCGAGGCTAGACACAACTTCCAATATCGCACAAGCAGATTTGGAATGATTTGGTAAAGTATTTCTGGGCACTTATCATAAAGAAATACGTGTAGTATTGTGGGAATTTGGACAAATTTCGCTCGGTATGAAGAAGCCTAGATGAAACAAGTTTGAAGCACCAATGTTTACGGAAGAATGAGTGATTAAAATATGAATGATTTTCAGAATTCATAACATTTCGTTTTATAAATAAATATTTTTCAGATGGCCACCCGAGTTCGTAATGTTTTAGACATCTAAGCCTGGGGTGCGTCTCCTTTTAAAAGAATTGTTTGCTGAATCCACCACTTAGTTATTCTAAAATGTACAGTATCCACAATAAAAAGTCATAACCCAAAGAATTGCACATAAATGTCTTATAATTTCGTAGGTCAATATTTTGGTAAATATCTAGATTTACAATAATCAAATACTCTTTCGCTTATGAGTAGCTGCGTTGCTAATTTTCATTATTGTTTAATGGTTAAAAAATGCGAAGCGATTTTTAATTGATCATAACATTTCTCCAGTGCGTATTTGCTCCCGCAATAGAGTATCGCAATTGTTTTAATTTCTTGGATTTTCTAAACTACCTAAGCACTAGCGTACCAAGGAGCTTGGGTGCCTCGGTGCAGGGAAGCGAAATTCGTATCTGCAATAAACGTGAAATTAAGAATTTTGAATTTAAGTAGTATAGGAATTTGTCTGGTGCAAGGGAAAAATTAAGTATGGATTGCGATTTGTGTTATTCTTTGTCGATAACCGCCCACGGGGTTCCGTTTATTAAGGATCACTTTCTTCGGGGCACATATCTATCAATCGCCGGCTCACAATCGGCTGCAGACCCCAATCGACCACTTGATCATCACTGACCTCCTTCAAAACTTCATTGACCTCCAGGAGACCGAGACCCCGTTGGGAACCCCGTAGAGAGCGAGAGAGAGAGGGCAAGAGAGCGAGCGAGAGAGCGAGGGAGAGAGAGAGCGAAAGTGCGAGACACACACACACACACACACACCTCACGGCTCAGTTCGCAGTGATGCCCACTTTCTTCCTTTACAATGTGGGCTTCTCAGTTTTCGCTCCCTCTTTCTAATGACCTCTACGTACCGTGCTCCGTGTTACTCAATAATTTCTACAATTATTAATTATTTCTTCAGATTTTAAAAACTCCTTGCGTTGTTTCTTATTGGTATCTAGTCCAAGACGCGTGACTTCTCTGACGATATTGACAGCACTCCACTGTTCCAATGTAGTTTGAATTCGCCTCTGCCCACAATCCTCGCTGTGAAGTATCAAGAGAAGGTGCGCGTGTAGTAACTCTTTGACACCACCACCCCCAGCTACAAGAAGCAAAAATAAATTATATCACAGTTAAACCAGTTTGTATGAATTTTCTTTGTGTTATATATTAAAATCTATGATAATTAAAGTCAGAATTTTTGACCAAGCGGACACCACCAAACACGAAGATGGGAACATTTTTTTGAGGGAAGGAAGGACGCGTGCACGACGAAAATTCTGAAAGTAATGCACACGGCGTTGGGAATGATGCAGAGATGCATGATGCTTGATATTGCTCCAATTGTATTGGATTCTACATTACAATTTGTCACCTACGATCAATTTTGAATATGTTCTTTATAATTTAAAACGTTCATTCAATATACTATTGAAAAACATCCATTTATTGCAACAATTTACATAAACATTTTTAATTTATTTATATTTAAAAAAATATTTAAATAATATTTTAAAGTAAGTGTAAAAAGGTAGTGCTACAAAATGGGACAGACTTTCCCTAATTAGTTTTATATTTCCTTTTGGTCTCGGCTAGATATTCGAATTTGCCACATTCTCTCGCCAGCTATCATCTATCGCCGTCAAAACTACATTTTTTTAATCTTAATTTTTCGGTTTTCTAATAGAAGAACGGAAACATTATTTTAAGAATGTTAAAGAACAGTCATACCTCGTCCGAAATGGCAATTTCCTTCGAAAACTTAGGAGCCGTTTTTAAGAAAATGGCGTTTAAGCGCTATTGTAAATTTTTGAGTTCTTTGAAAAACTTCATTAAAAGTAGTTCGAAGCACATTCACTCACAAATACCATAGTGTTTACAAATGACTGGAAATGTGCATATTAACGGTGTGAGAGGTCTTAAAAAAAACTATATTTGTGTAATACTTGAAAAAAATCCCAAAATGGACGCAACATCATATTAGAGAGTGTAATAGGCACTATCCGTTCGAAAAGTTTAAAGAAAAAAATTGGAGTCATTTAAGAGAAAATGCGGAATTTTCAGAAATTCAGAAAATGCGGAATTTTCAGCCATTTTTCACAGAAAACTGTTGAGTTTTTGAGTAACTGTATATGTCATTATTTAAAGCACGTGTACTCATAAATATAATTATGTGAACATATCACCGCTAATGTAAATATGATGTGAGAGATAAAAAAATATACATTTTTGTAATTTTTGAAAAAAAAAAACAACAACGAAATAATAAAGCAACATTTACAGCGTTTATATTACCTCATAAAGTACATAAAGCACTATCCCTACCAGTTTCAAGTTTCAAGAAAACATTTTGTGTCGTTTTTGAGAAAATCTTTTTGTTCTTTTTTAAAATTGCAAATATTGCGCGAAATATACTATTTTTTTCGCAAAAATGTACATGATCTTAATTTTCGAAAATTCAGAGTTAACCGTAAAAATCTGATTTGTGCCACCTTTTTAAGTGTATTTTATTATTTTCTTACTATAAATATAAAGCAAAAAATGGAGCTGTTTTTAAGAAAATTTTGAAAATGTTCATGGAGCTTCATGGTAAATGCCCCCAAAATGTAAAAAATGTTTTTGAAAATCTTAGCTTCGACTCTCGCCAGATCAACAGGGACTTCTTCAATTCGTAAAAACCGTACATATGATTTAGGCGTTAGTGGCGTTCACAGACGAACGGACAAAGGGACTGACGTTTTGCCGTCATTTGTTTTCTTTTTATTTTTTTATTTTTTTATCAAGAATCTACAAAACAGAGTTTCTGGTTATACCACGTGTTACACTTTTTTTTCCTTAATTTAGCAACTGGATTTATCCACTTTTCGTTATCAGGGCCCGCTAATGAATTTTTTCTGCCGAAAATCCGGCGTATTACGTATTACACGTATGTATATTGAAAAGTAAAATGGAATTAAACGAATTGTTTCTGCAAATGATGACACATATGTATACACACACACACACACAACAGCGTTACGAAACACTAACACGTCCACGTATTCAACCTAATACTGCCTCCCCCGCCCCAAACCTACGTAACTTATTGTTGGACGAACCCAAACGTACGTAACTTATTGTTGATCCGACCAAGCATGTGGCAGAGGTACATACGAATAAGATCGCATTCCCGACCAATATTCATCTTCTACATATGCCAAAGTTATTTTGTCGCATTTTATGTCTTTATGTCATCTCGTAAACATTTTCAAATCAGCGTAATGATTTATCTTATACAGAGTAATGTAATAGAGCGCGTATCTATCTATTCATCCTTCAATGCACTTGCTTGAGAATTGCGGTATTCAAATTCCCGCCTTCCTTCACTAGCCGCATTCCATTCCTCAAAAACCAAATGACAATATTTTGAACGTTAACATTTCGCATGCATTAAAAAAATCGAAATAAACAAAGTGATTTGTCAAAATTAAAATTTGTTGTTAACCCGTAGAATTAAATAGGTATATGAGAATACTAAATTTTATGATCGACTTAAAGAAGAAATGGTTTCGGTTGAATTTAATAATTTATCACGTCAAAATTTATCCGAGAAAGAAAAGTGTTTCGAATTACAAGATATTTATTGCAAAATACGTAGTGCAGAAGTTTGTAAGGGGGCGCGGCTTAAACGAAATATATATACTTCGTCGAAATGACTAAATATTGCTGAAAACTCAACCACTAATTAGTTAAGCCCATCTTAAGAAACAAATTAACTCGCAGGAATGGATTATTTTATTCAGAATTTCACACTTACCGCAATCAGTAACTCCAGAAGAGATCTCTGCTAGCAGCTGATCGGTCGTCACCCAAGGGCAAAGAGGACGTTTTGCGAGCAAAGTGACACACGCGAACTCTATCGGTGGCTTTAAAAATTACCCACATTGTCCGGAGGAACGCACCGTGATCCTGTACTGTGACTACGATTCCCGGAGAACGAGACTGGACCGGTTCGATCAGATTCGATTTTAGCGTGGCGGAAATGGTCTGAGGGGATATTTTGTTAATTCCAGTTGGGTATAATACAGTTTATTAGGTTATGAAGCCCGAGTGTTGAACTGTGTTAGGTGTGTTGGATGACTGCTTTTCGCATTTTCAAGCATGTTATGGTTTGTATTCCGAGAACTTGACCAACGACTGTAATTAAGTGCCTATTTCGTACGAGTGATCGCCTGAAATTGAGTAAGGGTTCTTATTGCGCTTCTATGAATGTCGTGCAGTGTTTTACTTGTCGTCCCCTAACCTTGATATCTTAATATTTGTAGATTTACAAAGGAATGGAATGGCCCATTTCTGATGGTTTTTAGAAAATATATTTTACAGTAAGTTCGCATTGAAGTACCTTTCAATTCACGTGTTTTTTCACACTATGCTTCTTGTATTATAACTGGTTGGCGGATTGAACATAATTGGAAAGGACGGAACATGCATAAGAAAAGTTCTCGTAAAAGTAGATCGCATTCGCATGAAGATGACAAATCTCAACGTAAAAGACGACATTCAGAGGAATCGAGAAGTAGTAGTGTGGATAGTGATAAATCTCCTGCAAGAAAGAAAAAAAATAAAGATGACAAACCTCAGCAGAAGCATGTACCTTCGAAAGACACATCAACATCAGATGAGTCGTCATCAGAATCTAGCTCCTCTTCATCATTATCTTCATCGGATTCATCTTCATCGTCATCAAAATTACGCAAGAAAAAAATGAAGAAAAAGGCTAAAAAGAAGTTAAAGAAACAAAAAAGAAAACTAAAAAAGCAGCTTAAAAAGCAGAAAAAGAAAATAAAAAAGGCTACTAGAGCAATTGAAAAAAGGAAGACTGATAAGTCTTTAAAGACTGACACAGAGGCACCAATGAATGAAGTTGTTGATGAAATGCTAGCCGAAAAATCTAAAGCAATGGCACCAATGACCAAGGAGGAGTGGGAAAAAAGACAAAGTGTTGTGCGAAGAGTATTTGATGAAGAAACAGGAAGACATAGGTAAGATTTAAGCTATTTTAAATTGTTGGTAGCCATTACTCAACATTTAATATTCTAGTTCACAATTTTGCATTGTATATCTTATTTATTTTGTGAAAATAAAAGAAAGTGCTATTACATACATGAGAGAACAATTTTATGAAGTAAATGACAATAATTAATGTAACATATGTGCAGATTAAGAATAAAATAAAATGTATAGAGTTCTTTGAATTTTGCCTTTCCATTATTAACATTTTGTTGCAACTGGCTCTTAAGGCTTTGAAGTATGTGGATGTGGTTACCGCTATAAACAAGCTCTTCTAATATTTTTAAACCTACAGCATTGAAATGAGAAATAGTATTAAATTTAAATTGTTTTTACATCTTGGAGATTCTGGATATGAAAGTAAACTCAATGCATTCCTTGCAGTATCCATGCATTTTAATTTCCCTTGTTTGAATCCTATTTCCTACAAATGCTTCTATTTATGGGATCAATTACATGTTTCACCCATGCAAAAAGTTTTGCGTATCTGTACATGATTCTGTTGCGATACAGCATCTTTATGTTCATAGGTTCGTTCGCTAGCAGTTTTCTAGGTGATATGTCTGGATTTAGGGCATATATCAGACATTTTGTTTTTGAATTTCCTGATCCAAAACTGGATTGAAATTAAATTCTAAATGAAAACAATGATTTGTGAAATCTTTATTTTTAAGTAGTAGTTGGAAAAATACTATATTAGGGTCTTGTACTTTTGTATGTTCAGGTTAATTAAAGGAGATGGAGAAGTCATTGAAGAAATTGTCAGTCGTGAGAGGCATCGAGAAATCAACAAACAAGCAACTCGTGGAGATGGGGATTTCTTTCAGTCCAAACTTGCTGGCGGATTACCCAAATAATTTTTTTAACGTGAACTGATACATGTTAATAATAAGTGTGAACAATATTTTCTTAAATCTTCAAAATAGCAGAAGTGGTAGTAATTTACTACCTTATATTTCTATGGAATTCAATGTTATTCTTTATTACTTTTGATTTTCCTGTTTGTTACAAGACATTTCAATTGTACCTTTTATAATGCATGCATTTCAGTTGTTTTTCATGAAAAATAATGCAATAATTTTTGAACTTTCCAATAAACATGTAACTGTTTATTTTGCTGGACAAGAATACCTTGTCTTTAAAAAATTGTTGGAGTGTTTCTAGAAAGCTAAGTGTTAATACCTGTTCCCATCATGCTTTGAAAGAAAAATGAGCCACAAATCAATCGGTTTCTATTTCCTTAAATGTAAACCATTATTTTAAGTCTCTAATTTAATTTATGAATTATTTTACATTGTATCAAAGTAGATGATCATATTCCTAAAGCGTCAATAAATGCAGTTATAATTACAACTTAAAATTACACCTAAAATTCTGTCAATGATTAGGCATGATTTGTGAAGAATTTGTGTTTTTTTTTTAATTTAATGCATAACATTAGTTTTCTTTGTGGATTTTCAGTCAAATGAGAAAAATTATTTTGAAGTTCATGTTTCCTGATAATATGAAGAGGAAACATTTGATATGGGAAGTACATTAAATTGAAAAAATGATTTTCAATTAATTAAATATGATATCTGAGTTGATGAAATAGAAACATTCTTGGTGGTTGTAAAAATACTTTCATGTACTGATTATTCTGTGAATAATTTGAACAGAATGATGAGAGTTTATTTTTCAAAGAAAGTAAACAGTTGATCAATGAAAAAGGGAGCAAGCAGCCATTACTTTTTACCCGTTTCAGTATTTACACATAATAAAATTACAATTCACCTATACAATTTCTCAAAAACTGTTGGAGCATTATTAGGATTGATAAGATCTCTGAGAAAATGTGTGAGAGAAGAAACTGAGAAAAGTTCAGTCCATAGGCAAAACTTCCTTCAATGTTAATGTTATAATTTTTTCTAATTTTTACATTGTATATCAGTTGTATAATCAAATTTACAATATTACATGGAGAACCACATTCACAGTCATGATCAGTTTAATACACCTTGCAATTAATAATTGTTAAAAATATTTTTCATTACAACACTATTTAGTGAATATTCTTTTAATATCACAATTCCTTTCTATTACATCCTTCCTTATTAGTACTTGCGTGCAATCTGACAAATTAGTATCTGTCATGCTCCTTGTGAAGCTCCCCTTAAAATTAAAATAAACTTTGTTATCAGTTATAAGGGAAGCAGCACTATCAATCTATTGCTCACATGTTGGTGCACAAGAAAAGTGATACATTCAAAAACCATTAAATTCACAGATAAGTGAAAAAATATGTTCAGGTAATAGTCAACTTTTGCTAGGAAAACATCCTAAAGACAACTGGACTGCTCTTGGGATGAAAACTGTTGTCCACCAAAACAACCATTTTGCGTGTGTTGGTTTTCTTGAGCACTGACAAGATCTTACAAAAATATTTCTTTAGTGCATACATATCTATACTCAAAATAAAATAAAAATATGTTACTCGTTATTGTGTGGTATACCCCAGTTTATATCACTTGATAATTGCAATTTTGGATGGAAAATTATCTTAAAAAATTGAAAATATTCTCGTTCCACATGTTTATTAATTTTTTTAAATGCAAGTTCTGCATCATATTCTTACTCAGAAGAGCAGATACATACTGAATTGTGATTTTTTAATGCATAAGTGACAAAATTTTCATTCAATATGTTTGCCTGAGGCCTGGGTTTACCTGCAAAGATCATAAATTCTTCTATATGAACATATCTATCTGTTAATTTAAAATATACTTATTAAAACTAGAAAGTAATTTTGAATGCCTGCTCCCGTACTCAATATGTGTTATATATTAGGGATATGACATCAATGTCAATGATTTTATAAAATCATCAATGGGTGTAATATTGAGTTTTTGAAGCTGTCATCAACATATTTGTATGTGGTTGATTTTTTAAAAAAAGTATCAACATAATAAAAACCTGCAATGTTTGTCAGATATTGATAATATGAATATTCTTCAGACCAATATGATCAAGAGTGAAATATAATTATCCGTTTTCTTTTTTGATGAATGAAATTTATATAATTTTTGAACTATTCAATCATATGATAGAAGCTTTCAAATTCCCTGGACAATTTTTCACTGATTTGTCAATTAAATTTCAAATCCCCTTCAAATGAAATCATTCCCATGTAAACATTAATGCAGGTTTAAAAAACCTTGATGAATTTGGGGCGATATCACATCCCTAACTTATATAAAAACAAAGTCATAAAGTTAAATACCTATATATCCGCAGTCTTAGTGCATAATAAAACCTTTCCCTTTCGAAGAAATACTTCTTTGAAAAAGACTATATGTATATCAAAATATAATAAAACAGTTGATAGTTTTATACGTAACAGCAGATAACTAAATATTTCTTTCCTAGAAAACCACTTGAGTCGGCAAGTGCTTTAAAAGGATTTTAGGATAGAAAGGGAAATTAAAAAAAAAAATCAGAAGAAAAACTGACCTTGTTAAAGAAGGGATATTGTATGTCCAATATACAAAACCGATCTTGGAAAATGTGCAATTTTGGGGTAGACAATAAACAAATACACAAGATTAAATCACTGATTTATGCATTTATTTACAAACACCAAAGGAAGGTGTAACATGTCTCTAAAATTATCTCAAACATATTCACTTTTCATTGACAAGAAAATAAATAATCAACAACTGTAATGTTTTCCAAGAAACATTAGATTAGCATAAAGATGGGGAGGGAATTGTTACAGCAGATAAGCACCAACAAAAAATATAATTAAGAGCTTAATAAACACTGTGGCAGAACAAAGCAATGCTATTTAACAATTTAGTAAGAAAAATTAATTGAAAGCAGTTAGGAAAAATGTTCCCATAAATTAGCTATATTAATTTACTATGTTCAAACATGTCCTGGGATTGTTTCAAAACATTGGCCACGTATTGACTGCAGCAATTAACAGGGTCTAAACTGGATGCCCCAATATCATGAAATTTCTGCCCAAAATATTCGCAAAGAAAAGGAAAAATACAAACAAAATTAGCTAATGTTTAACTTTCAGAGGGTCTTTGGAAATAACATGAAATTTAATTACAAATGATTAAAGAGTTTTTAAACAAAATATTAATATTTAAAAAAATCATATTTTCTATGCATTTACGAACTTGGGGAGAGGGAGGAATGACTACTAAAAACATTACAAAACACTTTATGTTTTCCATTGTTTCCTTTACCAAGCTTCAACTTAATGTTTTGTCTTTGAGTAGAAAATACCAAAATTAATTTTAAAGCAAAACACAATGTCAAAACAATAGGCACATGGTGTTAACTATAAATTTGAAAATGAAAAAAAAAAACTTTATGTATGTACACGTTATGATTTAAAGTTCTATGTACAGTTGAAAAGAATGAACATGTGTATCACACTTTTAACTCTACATGAATATATAACAAACGACAAATAAGATTTTACAGAGAAACATGCATATGTACAGCTGAAAATATAGACAAAATGAAAGAGAAAGTGCAATGAAGTTGGAATGTGTAATACTCAAGTCAACTCTTAAACTCACACAATATTTTATGTACAAAATCTCCTACATAGTGAGATATTCAAGACATTTCACAACACTGAAAGTTACTTTTATTACAGAACTTAATAAAACTGTGTAAAATACGTAGTGGTACCATCACGCCAAGATGGATCATCAACTACTTTTGCTCTGCACAAAGGACATGTCTGAACTCTGTCAAACCAAGTAGCTACACAAGCTTCACAGAATATGTGACGGCAGTGGAGCAGCACAGGAGCTTCATACTCATCATGACAAATTGGGCATTGGTTCCCTGCTAAATGTAGCTGATCCTTGTTGGGACTAACTCCAAGGTTCTGTGAAAAACAAGTAGATACAATGATAAACAAAATAACTCTTTTAAGTATGTGGAAAAAGACACCCAATTGGAGTATGAGTATCTGTTGACAAACAGAAAAATCTTTATTTTGTTTCACTGTTGTCTTTATTCATAATTTTTTATTATTATAATATTCTTCTTCACAGTTTTATTGGAATCACGCACATAAATCAAAGTGTGACTACATTATACTTTTAGATAAATATAAAACCTACAGTAACTATTATCAATAATAATAATAATAATATTAAAAAGAAAACTTGCTTTGGTTGGCAGCCCTCATCAAATGGACACAAATGAGAGTCAATCAGACGATTTGAATTGCGGCTGTCATATGGGAGATTTAATCATCATCATCATAATAATAATAATAAATAAAAATGTCAGGAAAGACAATATATTTTATTACTAAAGCATACATTCTATTGTCTATAATGTGCAATCACCTCACCAGTTGATCAAGGACATTTCCAGGTTAATTTATATGAAATAGATCGACACATATGACACATACTTTGATAAGTGACAAATCCACCACTTACAGAGAGTTTATGTGGTTGTGTGAACACATTAATTGAACAAACAAGTTTGAATATCTTTTTAACTGCCTTCTTATTAGTGTAATTAGTGTAATTATATTTGTGTAATTAGCTAGTTCTTACACAAAGGATATGATTTCAATGTTAAATAAATTAAGAGGGGGAGGTTACAAATAAAAACTTAACAGAACCAATCATTAATTTATTGACAGCTTCACGAGAGAATTAATACATTATGTATTATTCAAAATATGGATCAGATTATCAAACAGCTGAGAAGATACCTCCCACATTTTTGCTTTTATAAGATACCATAAAGCACACAGAGAAGCCATATGTTCCTGAGGCCACTAAATAGTCATTTTTAACTTGAAACAATTCAACAATGCTATCAATTCCCTCAGACAGAAAATAGGTTATGTTTTACTCTGAACATTCTCAACCAGTTCTAACTGAAGAAAAAAAGATAAAAAATAAAAAAGTGTAAAGGCTAAATAGACATTTATTTGAAGATTTGTGAACTGTACAAATAATACAGCTGATAGGATGGTATATAATACAAGTCAAATACAGCTTTTTTACTTCGTTATTACTGTTGATTCTTATATATTTCCATTAGCTTGCAAGAGTAAATACACAAATTTTCCATCACCTTTTATGTTGTTGTAATTTTCATGTTTATTAGTATATTTAAACCTTAAGTGTTAATTAAAATAAAATAATTCACTGGATCAACTATAAACTTGTTTACTTTAGGTGATTGTTGTCTATGAAATATGTTGTATTAATAATTAATCTTTAGTCATAAACCTGTTATTATTTTCCACCTGAATAGAGGTTTCCTTCAATGAAAAAAGGTAGTGCTGTGTCTTTAAGCTGCATATAGAATTGTAAACTAATCCAGCTTTCTACAGTTGAAAATTGTCAGTGCAATGTATGATATTAGCATCATAAATAGGTCTCAAAATAATATTCTCTCTGGTTTCTTTGTGGACAAGTCCACTTGGCACAATGGCAAACTTTGACTTCTAGAGTTAAGAGAGTTTGCATGTTATTTTGCAGCAACTACAATAAGCCTGATCCTGGAAATCTCGAGTCAAATGTCTAACACTTGTAAGTTGTTGGTTAAAGCGTAATTGTAAGGCTTAAATCGTAAAGCTTTCACAGTTTCTATATGGTAAGACTCTAAAGAACTTATAACTACTGCAGCTTGACAAATATATCTTCTGGAATAAGTTAAAAGCCCAGACATACTGTTACATAAATGTCTTCAGAAATTTAACCAAGCCTTCCTAAACCTACTCCACCATTTAAATGTGACTTATGATTTTGAAATTTACAATTAAAAGTTTCCAGAAATGGAAAGAGGAGATTCGATGTTGGATTTTATTAAATAAAAACAAATAAAATGGTTTGGATATATGAAAAGTATGGGGGAAAAAAAATTTCCAAAAGTATTTTAGAATCCTGTACGTAACAGGACATGATGACACATTGAAAGTACGTGGTTAAAGGAAATTTCACCAACTATGGCTAAGAAAGGCTTAAAGAAAGAGAAAGTGTTTACTAAACACTTTCTCAGAGGAAATAGAATGTTGATTTTTTGAGTGTGTCACTGGGTGCTGAACACAAACCTGAAGATTGGCATTGTTCATAGATGCACTGAAAATAAGTTTGAAAGGAATGTTGGAAAATAACTTTCAAGTAATTTTTTATTGTTCCCCTACAATTTTTTGAATCATGTTTAAACAATGTTGAAAATGCACTTTCAAATTTGTTTTGTTATTTATTAATTACTTTCACTAATTTCAAACTGTTAGATTAGCTACTTCAAGAAATAAAGTAATTCAATTTGAATGTGAATAACAATTCTCTCTGAAATATAGTCATGATGAAACTATAAAAAGTTAACTATTTAAGTTGCATGATCATTCTGTCTAGTGCACATGGATACCAACCCTTCAAAAAAAAAAAAAAAAAAAAAAAAAAAAAAAAAAAAAAAAAAAAAAAAAAAAAAATTGTCTAACAGAATTCTACATAATTGGTAAAATGTTGTAAAAAGACTGTTATCTAGTGCAACCATTCTTTGTAGAAACACTAGAACATAAATGCCTAATCATGAACATGTCAAAACTCAAAAGCAGAATGAAAAAATAAATCTTTAAAAATTAATTATCAAAAATACTTTGTGATCGAAATCATATTCTTTAACAATGTTGAACATGCCATTTATGGATTAAATGGTTCTTCTTTAAAAAATAAGACTACAAACTGAAAGCCAAACAGAAGATAACAAAGAAAAGGAAGTAGATTATAAGTAGCTCCCTTGAGATACCCAAGCTGCATACATTTTGAAATACCTCATATGTCTCAAAGAAGGAAAAGAATGGGAATGAGGACACCAGAAAAGCCTTAAAAGTAAAATCATAGTAAATGAAATAGGTAAGCATAGTATACTAGCATGTTAACTAGTAGACATGCTAGTGGGCTATGATCAAGAATTTGGGAACAGTCTTTACAAGAATAAAAATCAATAGACTTTAAAGCAAAAAGGGTTAGAGGAAGGAGAGAACCCTGCAGATTAAGGAAAAGATGAAAGCCCTAGGATCGGAACACTTCAATGGTGACTACAGGAGTACTGGAAAAATGTATAAACATGTATAACGTTTACAAGTTCACAAAATGATTTCTGTTTAATGGGACTTCCCTAATTGTTCAAAATTTAGTATGTACAAACATATCATGTGCTTCGAAAATTTTCTGGATGTTGCATTTCAAATATTTGGAGCTTCAAAGTGAATAAATTGTTCCTCTGCTCCCAAAAACAAATTTAAGTTTCAGTTGAACATCGTATCTCCAACATCAAAATACACACAATCGTTGTCTATGAATCTGTACTCTAAACAACATTGAGAGCATTTTATGTTGTAGTTACTATAATTATAAGGTCATAAATTATTAAAACAAAATGCATGGGGATGTATTAGAAGATATTGCAAGTACTTGAATCTAAAAATTTAACTCTCCTCACAAACATTTGTTCCAACTTTTATAATATAATTATATATTATATAATAATACGTAATATAATATAATAATATATAGTATAATAATATTTTTAACATATATTTTCATGATATGACAATTATTAAAAATTCAAAGGCCTTCTCATACAGTGTTGCAACAGAACATTAGTGACACACATTCTAATGACTTCACTTAATGGTAATGAAAACATTTATTTCAATAACAAAACTGTTTATTATGACTAGTGTTGACTTCAATCTGTAACAGACAACTTTAACTCCCCAAAAGTTTCTGTCTCTAGGCTGGTTGTTCGCTATGAAGTCCTTTTGACAGTTTAAAACAATTTGAATTCTCCACAATTTCAAATAAAACTGCAAATAAAGTAATGAAAGTTGAGCCCTGCTCAGGGCAAAATTTCCTTTCACTAAGGGAATAAATTACGAACTGCAAAATTTATTGGATTTGCTTGCAGGTCATTAGGTAGATATAGTTATATTTTTCTCGCATTTTTTGACTATGATATGGCTTCAACTGTGTGATCCAAGTATAATTTCTACCAAGAAGCAATTCTGGCGATCGATATTCCATCAAAAAGCGGTGAAATATCTCCCAATTTTGATTTAGATTCTTGAATACAGAATCTTGGTGGTACCTAATAATTCTCTTGGTACTAAATTAAACAGTCTTGGCTCAATTGTTAAAGTTAAGACAGACATTAACGTTAAATCTAATCTCTAAAAGCACAGTCAATGATTTTCCAATCTATAATTTCAAGTCATTGGAAGCACATGTGCTTGCAGGGAACATGGACTTAGCAAACTCATTTTATTTGTGTTTTCCTTAATTGAGATTTGTGCAGTTGCCATAAAAACACATAATGTGGGAAAGTAATAACTGTAATCAATGTCATTGCATTGTGGTCGGTGTTGTTGCCTAAAAAAAAAAAAAAATCTGGACTTACCATATTTTGAAGAAGTTTCCACAGAGATTCCTTCCATAACTTGCCCTTTGCTAGCAAATCTGAACCTTTGAATACCATATAAGCAGCTGACAAAAACACTCCAACGACTTTTTCAGGTCCCTGGTACGATTCTAAGAGATAATACAGCCATGGTTGGATTGGTGTGAGACAGCGATAAAACTGTGATGTTGCTTCCAAAAAGAGGTAGCATTTTCCCTTTAAACAAATGCATACACAAAAGAGTTACAAAATAAATAACATCAAATATAACAAAGAATGCTTGTGAATGAGTAGAGGGAAATTTAAAAATTTGCATGAACTCACTCTTTTTTGGTAGGGCAGCAAAATGGCTGGAAATGCAGCAACAGCTACTTTTAAGATTATTGTAATTAATTTTAATACAAAATCTGTCACACCTACAATCCATAGTAAATCCCACACACTTAATGGTTGGGTATATGGTGGAATGAACACCAAACTGAAAAGTAAGAAAGTACACAATTAATTAAGCATGGATGAAATATACAGTTGAAAACAAAGTGTTTCTCTGAACTTAGACGAACAGATGTGAATTACCTGAGGTATAACTTCTGATCTTGGAAAATATAATATATAAATAAAATGCAACCAAATAGATTGCATACAATAATAAATAAAGAAGCTAAGCTTCGCCGAGCTTGCTTTGCAATTTCCCGCTTCACAACAGAATTTGCATGACTGAAGGTCACAAACAATGCAATGAAGATGAGTATTCCTGAAAAGAAGTCCATGTGTAAAAGGAAAGTTCTTACTAACAGGCCAAAGAGAACTCAAGCAAAATTCAAATGAAAGAATCTTATGACATTTTATGGTGTTGAAGAAACACATTACTTGTCCTTGTGTATCCTAATGAAACAAATATAGGCTCTACATAAGACTAATGATTATTTAATCCATTCCCAACACAGTAATCGAATATAAATTATTCTACTAGTAACTTACCAGCTCGATGATCATAGATTCCCTTTCCAAGGAGTATAAGCAAAAACGGGACATACTTGTACAGGAAGCTCAAAAGTGCTCTAGTTTCAGGACTCTGCCTCAAAATTTCTGCAGCTCCTGTAAGGCGTTCAATTGTATAATAAGTCTCAATTGGAAGTAAATCCATGAGTTTGATGAAGTGGGGAATTATCAAATACACGGAGTTTACTTATTTTGCATTAGTATTTATAAATGTTTAACTTCAATTTTATATACCAAAAATTTGAAGGGACAATTTATTATTCCTTTCCCACTTCAATAAAGTACTACATATTTGAAGCATTAAAACCAAGATACTAACTCTAATCAATTGTCATCACTGACGTCAAATCACAACACAGAAATAGACTGTCATACATCATCCTCATGCACAATGGATGCCAGTTGCAGAACATTGACTTTGACCTGGGTCTCCTCGTGGAACATGACATAGTAAGTAAAACTAAATCCAAAGCATCTCATAATCCTTAATCTATTTAGAAGCTAGTTTATTTCATAAAGAAATTTTAAAGAAACATATTTTTTAATATTTCCATTTCATAACTAACCACATCCTTATTTTCAGGAGCACACTGTGCACACATCATACACACGTACATCCTTATCACAAACAAATAAAGAGGCCCCCAATACCAACTAGATAAGATACCCCCACCCTCCATCCTCTGAGGGTCAAATGTTTTTGAAGATCATGGCCATGGCATTACTGACATCAAATTTCTTAGGAGCTAATTTTGAATTTTTTATATCTCAGTTTAATAAGTAATATGATTCTAACAGCCAAATTCTACTTTTAGCTACAGTAATTTTATAAACTACGTAACACTCACTCCTCACATGTCATATTGACATCAGCAATATCCAAAATAAAATTACAACAAGGTTGAAAATGAAAGACACAATGCCAACAAATGCACTTCTTCATATTCTGGCAATTTTAACTCACTAACACGTAACACATTTTTTTTTCACAATTCACAAAAGTAGAAAAAATCTTATCTATTCCATTCAACACTCTAATCTTCCCACACAAACATTTGTTTCATACCTCGAAGAAAATCAAGACTAAGTACAGAAAATATCAAAAATATCAGAATACAAGGAACAACATAATAAGGAGTTTCTTTCTCATCAACTTTTTCTAACATGTTAGGCTTCTGCTCATGAAATATAATTCTTATAACTCGACTTAATGGCAAAACAAATGAAGGCATAGGTTGATGAGAAAAGAGAAGGCTAAAACTAATTTGAGAAGTCATAGAGCAGAAAAAAAAGGAAATGACCTATACACTTCGTTATCTTATCATTCTAGAGTTTAAACATCTCTTCACAACTCACTGCATCTCTTTGACTTACATAAATTGTGTTCTAACTTGTGTCATCATTCACCTGGGTGAACATAACACATGTTGAATCATAAAACAAAAACAAAAACTGGATGTCACAGTGACAACACACAAATGACTGGCAAAATAAAATGAAACACTTGCTATATATAATGCTCATGCAGAGCAGTTCATAAAATTTCTTATTAACAATTAGTAATTTAAATTTTTTATTCAAGTGGAAGTAGTAAACTTGTAGATTACAAACACAATGGCACAAGATTTGGATCACATTAAGAAGAGAAGAATTAAATATCACATAAAATAAAAACTTGTTTGTTACAGAACACACAATGCACAGATTTTTTTACAGAACAACTAAGAGCACACAAAAATGATACCTGATGCATTCAAATTACTCATACCAAGCAAAAAAAGGCTTGTCATGTTTAAATACATCAAAATAATGTTATAAACTTCTAGACAAGTTTAATTGTGAAATCCATAATCACAATTAATACTGAATAATATAGTATGAAAGAAATTATATGGACAGAAGCATAAATAAGAAATAATTTACCAATAAAACAAATAAAATACCTTTCTATAAGCACTGTAATTTAGTATACTTGAATGAAATAATAATAATTTTATTTGCTCATATCAACTCAATAAGACAAGTCTTGAAGCGTTGCCATACATAAGTAAGCATTCATTATTCTTACTCCTACAGTTTCCACAGGTTTATGTAATATTAAATAATATTCACAAATTATTTGCATTTATGGCTAATAGAATCTAAACCTAAAACTGCTTATCCAAGAGAAATAAAATAACTTATATTCAGTAAAGAATAGACAGCTGAGTTAAGAATAGATAACTATCATAATATTGCTCTATCTATTTTAATTCCTTAATTCCTACAGGCAAGTTTTACTTAGGTAATTTTTAGTGTTTTTGGGTGATTTGTTTTTGCTTAACTCTTGAATATTAGCAGGAAGTTTATTAAAGAGTAATTCAGCATTACGATAAGGATCCTTCTATGATGAGGATTTTGCAGAAAACTTACCTTCTTCCTGATTATTGTTATTGTTGTTGTTATTATTGTTATTATTGTTGTTCACATTTCCTTGATCTGAAGATGATGCAGATGATGACGATGCAGCTGCTTCTCGAATATTATTTAAAAAGTTGTCAGTGAAAGTATTGCCACTCCCAAGATGATTATGATTTGCATGAGTAGTATTTGTGTGGCTCTCATGCTGTGAAGAACTGTGGTTAGGTACATCGTTTTCTAAGGTAATTACAATGCTATCAGGAGTTGTTGATGACTCTGCAGCAGAACTCTGATGCTCTCCAGATGCTGGTTGGCGAAGCCAAGATGACAATGATAAACCTCTGTTTTCAGCCGTCCTAAACAAAAAAAAAAAAAAAAAAAAAAAAAAAAAAAAAAAAAAAAAAAAAAAAAAAAAAAAAATTTACACGCCTTTTCATTTCTCATCTCTATTATTGTTAATAGGTAATAGGATAATTAATAAGATGTAACTTCTTTGTATAAACAAATGTATATAAACAACAAATGTAACAAACCAACATTTGAATGTGATATCAATTCTATTAAATTAGTATGAAAGTTTATTTTCTTATTTTCATAAAGCTATGTCAGATATTTTTGGGATAAAAATGTGAAATGTTATTCAATATTATAGGGTAAAAGCACTTTCGTAGTTTTCTCAAACTTCTCTCCCTATAGTACTAAACTGATTTTATTAAATTTAATTGGCAATTAGCATATCTAATTCTAAATAGATTGTTTGCCTAAAACCATCCAATTTTTAACTTTTTGTATTTTTAAATTAATTAATCTCTAAATATTGATTTTGATCTGGTAATGCCACTTAAAACTTAAAGTTAGATATTTGACCCAGTAATGGCCAATTGATAGTCTACCCCCTGAACATGTGATGTCCAAAACACCTACCTTTCACGTTACATTAAGGCAATGCCAATATTAATAAGATGTAACAAATCATTTTCATTCTGTAAGTTTGAAACTAGTGGGAATCCTTCAATTGTAATTTTTCAAATTTTGTCCTTGAAGTGGCCACTACAAGAGGCATTACTATAACTATTTAATATTAATTCAGACAACGCAATAAATGACATTAATACACAATTGCAGGTTCACATTTTACAAAATATTCAGAAATTAACATAAGAATATGATTGATCTCGTAATGGAGAACTAAAACATTCAAATCATTTGTATAATATTAAGTTTGATAATTAATATTAAGTCTCTTGAACTTTATATTAAAAACAATTTTGAAAATTTTTCCCAATATCACCACGGAATAGTTGCGTGACAACTTTCATCCTCACAAGGACCCACTACATAAATACTAATTACTATTGATACTAACTACAAGTACATTTGAATCCTCTATAACAATTTATAAAATGATATTGTGCTTCTGACAATATGTTAAACATTAACAATTTTATTGAAAAATAAATGGCTCATTGTTATTTTTAAGGACATTACCTGGCACGTTCAACAAGAGGTCTCAACCCTTCTATCATTGTGTAAATATTATCATGAAGCATTCGAGAGCCATCATCTGCAGCATGTCTCGTGACACCTACATCATCAGTGCTCGAAGAAACATTAGGAACTGCATTACTAGAAACTTCAAAAAAACAGTACTTCTTTATTTAGACGGTTTCAGAAAATATTACAACACAACTTAAGTCTGACAGAAAACTCACCCACAGATGATACAGAGTGTGTCATAAGTAAACCATGATGATTTGGTCTTTGTTGGCTCAAAATTGGAAATGAGCGTATTAAGTGAACCCCTCTTTCATCCCCCCCTTGAGATTGGGCCATATTTGACGAGAGTATTAATAATTTTATTTGTTCCACATAACCTATAATCAACAACCATTTGTTTCAATGACAGTTCAACATGAAAATCTCATTACAACATAAAAACGAATGAATTGACTGAATAATTAAATAACAAGACAAAATCAAAGCACCAGAATTTGCAAGTATTAAACAAGATACCAACACTTGTCTTCTATCACAGAAATGTCATCCACAAATTACGAAACAGCCTTCTCTATTGATTATGCCAACTTACCGAAAATAATTCTCCGACGTGGGATCGGAGAGTGCAGCAGATAGTAAGTATTTTACAATACTTCGTATTAAGGAGGTACAAAAATTTCACTATAAAAGTTTGTATTTTAGAACAGAAAAGGTCACACACAAAAGAGTCCAATGAAAACACACGTTGAACGAGTTTTTTCATTTGATTGCGTCATGTGGTGGGACAGAGAAAGTTTAAAGAAGGGGGATATCAGAGATCACGCAGACGTATACACGAACGCGAAAGAATTTAGATGGGAGAAAGATTCAGGGTAATCAAGTGTTATTGAATTCAAAATAAAGGCCAATAATACTTTCTCGAGATATGTCAGCAAGATTGGATTTAAATTGCGCTTTAAGCTTTCTTTTGTTCAACTATTTATCTCGGAAAGAAACAAAAATTGGTTTTGCCTGTACATATTGCCGAATGAATGTAATTCACCCGCAACCGTGCATCGTAATATTTGAGAATATTATCATTTTCTTAATTAGAATTTTATTAGTGCCCATTCGAATCACTGCCGTCAGAGCATCTTACCAACTGGTAACGAACAAAAAATTAGTAACAGGGCTTGGGCTCAAGTCATTTTTGGATACTATGTGATTACACATTGGGATAAATAACATTTAAGAAATTGGAAAAAAAATGTCTTCACATACAAGCAAAGTGTTGAATAATTTATTGAGTCTTACAATTCTGGTGAAATAAATATTGATGCAATAGTATGCATTATGAATAATTAACTATAACAGGCAAAATTAAACAGTAGGAATGCACCACTCCATTAACTTCCATTATTTATGGATCCAACTGATAACTGGACTGTACTGGGGCTCACAAAAAATTAACTGTAATTTGTTTTACATCTTTTATTGGAAAAAAAGGGGATACTACTGAGTAAAGAGGTTATAAGAACTTAAATCTCCCTACAATACAATTTTATCAGTAATTTTCAAATTTCTCCTCTCTAGGAGAATAAGTGAACATATGGTTGAAAACATTAACAATTCAATTAAATAATTAATAAAAAAGATCACTAAAACGGCAGAAAAATCCCTCCTTCCAAACCAACCAAGATATCAGCGAGTACACCAAAACTTGTCCAACACATTCACACATACATGTTCCACTCACCAAGGGCGACTTTAGACAGCACACTATCATAAAAGGAGTTTACAGTTTTGTTCAGCTTATAAATAATTTTACATACTACATAGACAAATTTAAAGGCATCTAGAACAAAAGTACATTTCCAATGCTGAGCTTATGTTACAATCCTGTAAGTGGAAACTGAACAAGAACTTATTCAATGTACTTGTCTTCATTAATTAAAGTACTAAAAGGACATCCCTGAATAATTGTCACATGGGAAAGGAATTGGAACAAATTATAAATGATTTTTAAACACAGGGTGAAAAATCACATCAACACAAAAACATTAAATGACTACATTAGAAATTTGGAAATAATTTGTTTACAAGGCATTTGCACCGACTGTAAGATTACAAGTCCTCTACCCAACCAAATAAAATTATGACTACAAGATTAATTTAAATGCCTCATGTTGATCCCCAAGACATTTCAACCTGCCTAGCAGAAATCCTATACTGTACACTTGCTTGAAAATTAGCATAGGCCATAGATCCAAGTGCAAAATTGGCAAAGCCCAAAATAAGAAGTAGCACTAGTTTTGGTATCCTTTTGAACTGCATTTTGATAAGGAATTGCAACCTCTTGCCTTCCTCTTCACTTGCCTAGACCACAAATAGAAAGGTTTTTCCTGTACTTCATGATTACTTAAACACTGAAGAGGTGAGTAGTGCAGTGCCACACATCTCACACCCAAAATAATACCTGCATCTCGAAGATACATGAAAGTGAACATAACTAGTACATCCACCTATTACCAATGCAGATTACTTTTTACATGAACTAATGCCATTAAAAAAAACTGTTTGTTAAAAAAACACCATCCAAAGGCATTTATTTTGAGCGCACATCCACACCAAGATGACGAATCCAACAACCATCAATAACCGATGGAGGTAAAATGAAAACATCTTCATGCGGAACACACAATAATCACCATGCCAACAAAGGGCCAAGTCTCAGTCACTGGCACTTGTCTTCACACCCCATATTCACTCAGATGAAACAATACAATGAACTCAAATTATTGCAAAAAATAAAATGAGGGATGGTGAAAACCTATTTTTATTTATTTTTTGCAAGGGAGGATTCAATTTTCATTGCCAAAAATTCTCACGTGCAGAAGCAGTTCATTTGCCTCTCCAAGGGACACAGGAAGAATTCCATGTAAGTTTAAGAGACGGCAGAAAAATTCTCCCTGGTCCACTATGAAATTATTTTTCATTTGAAGGGGGGCAATTATGCAGTTCTTGACTCAATATCTTAAGTGACCTCACAACAAACACCCTCCCTAAAATACCCAAATACAAGCCTACTTTCCATTGCTATTAACAGGTGGTGTTTAACTGTCAATTTTTATTTCTCACATTACAATGAAAGGAGCCATCATTTAAATCACATCCAATTTCCCTGACATATCCCATCTGAGATCGAGCCCTCTCTGTGCTGTTCTCCCTGAAAGCAAAGTAAATCATCAGTCTCTTAATAAAATGCATAACCAGTAAACATAAATGCCCTATTTTAATTTTCAACAAACCTTTTATAATGCAATTTCCAATTAAAATATAACTGCCCTACAAACACTCCTCTTGACTTTTCCTTACACATCGCGCTACTTTCCGTTTAAAATCTGAATAGTTTTCTCTCCACTCTTTCTGCAACACACACACATACAGATTAATGAATTGAAACATTAAATATACAATTTAAAAACAGAGACTTACAGCAGCATCTACATTGGCTGGGCTCTCATCATTTGGGTCAGCTAACATTGAGATGACCGAGATAAGGATAGTTTCCACTGTATGAACAGGTAACCATCGCTCCGATGCCTTCTCATAGCCCCATTTATCATCTCCTGGCTCGTGCAGGATTGATATACACACATCACCATTCTTTTCAACTGAAAATAAAACAAAATTTAAGAATCTATGGAAAAACTATTCAGAGGGACACCCTGTGTTCTTCATACAACCATGATGAAGCTTAGAACTAACCAAAATACTTACATATTAAAAATACATGTTCATGCAATCAATTTTTACAATACACTGCTGAAAGTACTTGTCATAGCTGAAGTAACATTGCATATATTTTAGCAGAGAGAAGTCTACTTACTGTTAGGATGCCAAATTTCTGTAATAAATTTCATCCGAGGTGGCCGAAGTGGATATTCTTTTGGGAAGTGCAATTGTGCTTTGAAAAACCCACCCTCACTGGAAAAATAGATTTTCTTGCATTAGAAAAAAAACTAAAGCTGTTTTAATAGAATTCATAAAATTAATTACTCACTATAATGTGTCCGGTGGGCCAATAATAAGAACTTCCCATCTATAAATATCATTGTCATCGATAAGTCCCGCGGAAAACCCTTCCACAGGGTTCTTGTTCAATTCTATAAAAAAAGAAGTGAGAAAATGTACAATGCAATCCACATTGTGATGCAATTACAAAACATATTGGAAAACAAAACCTTGTTAATTGTTATATGATACTCATTGTGCAATACATAATTTATGACTCCCACAACATTCTCTCTGAATTAGCAATACAGTAATTGGTCAAATTACAATGCATGAACTGTCTTTCAGACCACAAATTTGTTGTATTTTAAACAGGTAGAGATTAATTTTAAACATTAATAACCTCATTTACTTCAGTTAAGAAAAACATTCAATAAATATCATCGTTTAAGCCAGTAATGGGAATCACCTAGAAATAAAGTTTCTAATTATATAAATGTACTGGAGTTCACACAACCCTTTAATTTTCAGGAATGGCGTTTAAATTTAGGCATTCTTTCTATTTCAATACCCACTGCAAAAGAAAAATGAGGGTACGTAGATATCAGCAGTGAGTAGCAATTATCAACAGGGAGAACTGCGGGGATAAGAATCAGCTGCTGACGACAAAGAAGTCATATTCCTACCATCAAGCGAGGTCGTCGGTAGTCAAGCAAGTACATACAATCTACTCCTTCTGCTACTTTATGACCAAGCTCTACCTTAAGATGAAATTTTAAAAAATACTCGTACCTGCCAGTTGTTTCCGTAGTAAAAGAGCTGACTGTGGCTCTGACATGAATATCAGAATACTTTCAATTTATATAAGCAAACAATCACTCCCTGGTAAAATGGCTCTGGGTTGGTAAGCTCAAGGCCGCATGCGCTAGTATACATAAGTAACTTCCGGCAGTACCAAGCAACATATATACCTTCTTCCAGGTAATGGCAAATCCTGGCGGTGATTTTTTGAACTAAATATCGTTTAATCAAGAATTCTGGTCTGTGCTTTTTCTATGTAAATTAAAAAAAAAAATCCTTTCTTCATACCCGATACAACAGTCTGATATAATAATGATCACAGAGTAATTTCTCACGTTTAAAGATTCGAGAAGAAGCGAAGGAAAATATTTTGTGTGACAGTTGGCGAAACTGCTAATCATAAACATGGGCACTGCTAGTGCAGAGTACTGATCGTTTATGAGAAGTGTAATTTTCACGTTATATGCAAGAGTAATTAATGATGTAGTGATTGAACAAAAAATATAACCCGTGAGTGAGTTTTCATTATATTTTTTAGATGCTTGAAAAGTACGTTAAGTTTTGGAGATTTGCATAAAGTGTCAATACATCGCGACATCGATGTTGATTAATCCCGCGCTTTCTTATGTGTCGAAATATTCAAAATATTTAGTAGCCTTTAAAAATCTTGCGAAAAAATTCAACGTTAATTTTTAGGTTGGTTTAGCTTCCAGGGGGTTGGGAACTAATACTATCTGCATTATGTACACGTTGAATATCATGTATATATTGAAGTGACAGTTTTATTTGTAGATAGAAGATAATTGTTCTCCCAAACAGTTTGCAGTTAAATCGACGTGAACAATGGTTAGTGAAAGCGATAGTGGTATGGTCATTTCCAAAAGACCAAAAACAAAAATTGGAAAGGAACTATCCAACGTTTCTAACAGTGAAGAACCCGATGGCTTAAAACAAGAAAGTAAAAAAGGTACATCAGCACTTTGTGAAGATGTATCAGTTAAACATAAGAAAGCAATTAAACGCATTAGGGAGTCGGATGAAGAAAGTTCCATTACATCCGATGATGAATCTATGTCAAAAAAAAGGATTAGAAAAAACTCTGAAGATAGGTGTGTGTCAGAGCGTCCCAAAAAAGTGGTGAGTGATGCAGCTAGAAGGAGAAGAGAAGCTCTTAAGGCAGTCAGGGAAAATAAGATGGCAGCTTTGGAGTCAGATAGTGAAAGTGATTCTGATGTATCAGAATTCAGGCATATTCGTGCTAAAACAAATCAGGGTAATGTTGAAAAAGGTTCAGATAACAAGTCTGAAGATGATTCTACCTCTAACTCAAAAAAACATTCAAATTCTGAAGAAGGTAACGTAGCTAGAAATCCAAAATCCCTCATAAGTAGTGTTAAAGATAAAAAATCTCAAAGAGAGAAAACTTCAGAAAAAACTGTAGCCAAAAATGAGGAATCTAGTTCTGCTTACAATAGCGACTCAGATAATGGGAAAAAAAACAAGGAATCATCAGAGACTATTAGGTTTGAAGATGAACAAAGGAAGTGTAACAGTGATAACAAATCTACCAAATTTCCTAAAAGAAAGTCATCTCTTTTAGGCATGAAAAAATCAGGTAAATGTGTTGATTCTGGAAGTGATGTAGACAGTGAACAGGAACATATCCAAATGGCATGCCTGGAAAAAAAATCTTTTAACAAATGTGATGAAAATAGTAAAGGTAAATGTGAAGTGGATATTAAGCAAAAAGATAAACATCATATTCAATCAAGCAATAGTGATGACGAACTTAATAGTTCGAAGGATGAGTCTACTAAAGATACAAATGTAAATAAAAAGGAGAAAATGAAGCAGATAAGTCAGAACACACCCTCATCATGTAATGAAAGTAGTTCTGATGAAGGAAAGATTAATAAAGAGAGTTCCAGGAAACAAAAAATAAAACTTGGACAAAAAATTTCAACAAAATCTCGAAAAGATGAACAACCGTCACAGGGTGAATGTTCATCAGATTCTGACAGACAGTGTAGTTCATCCAAAGATGACACTTCAAATGACGACAGTTCTTTTAAAAAAGCCAAACCTCAGAAAAAAGATGCCCATAGGAAAGGCAGAGCTGTGGATCAGTCCTTGAAAGGTCAAAATTCTTTCCAAGAAGAGAGTTGTTCAGAGAATGAACATCCATCAAAGAAAACAAAATCATCTACTAAGGCTCAAAGCTATTCAGATTCAGAGAAGTCAAACATCAGTGTTGATTTAAAATCTCAAAGTAAGAGCAAGTCGAAGAAAAATGATTCAGAGAGTTCAGAAAGTGATTTTGAAAATTGTAAACCTTCAAATAAAACAAAATTATTAAAATGTAACAAAACACCATTGAAACAGAAAATAACAGTGACAAAAAAAGAGATCTCGGATACCAGTGATTCTGAAGGAGAGTCAGAGCCGGTTAAAGAGAAGAAAATGTCTGAAAAAGTATACAATAAAAGTAAACGATCAAAAAAGAAATCTACAGCAAGTTCAAATGTCTCATCTGATGACGCTGTGGACTCAAGTGACAATTTAACACTTAAAAAGTCAAAAGTTAAAGTGACACCAAATAAATCTGATACAAAATTAGTGCCAAAAAAAGTGCAGAAAATATCCGATGAAAGCGAGTTAAGTGACATTGGAAGGGAAAATAACTTGGGAAAGAAACAAGTGAATGACTCTATTAAGAAGCCAAGTGAAGTGAAAAAAGAGCCAAGTGATTCAGAGACATCAAGTGGAGAAAGGAAGTCAGAAAATAAATCATATAAATCTTTCAAAGTTTCTAAAGCAATTAAGAAAGAGAAAGACAGTAACGATTCTGATAGTACAAGTGAAATGTCAAAATGTGAAGTAAAACATGAAATCAGTGATTCTGCTAATTCTAGTGATTCTGAATATGATGGGAAGAACCGTAAAGGCACTGAGGGCAAGGTAGTGAAGACAAAAGAGACCAATAAAAATAAGTCTCTGTCATCCGACAGTGACAATGATTCAAGTAAAAATGTCAGCAAAAAAAACAAAAAGGTAAGATATGATTGGATATTAAAGTATCTTATAAAATCAAATCAAAGTAATGTAAAATTATCTTGTAGTTCTTCAGTAGAAACAAACCATTGTTGAAATAGAGAAAAACATAAACGATGGAAATATAGAGTTAAAACTCCAAAAATTAACCAATATATTTCTTCAAAGAATATTTGATAGAAATAGAAACAAATTTCACTTTGGGTTCTTTTATGTTTGACCAATTATTTAAAAGAGAAATGATTAAGCTATATTGTATCTTTAAATTTTGGTTTGTCATTGTACTGTGGTTGAAAAGATGTTTAAGTAAAACATTAAGTGGTAAATACTAATAAATTTATATCTTCAGAAAATATCCTAGTATAGCTTTGATGTTAGTTTGATGTTCATTTGTTGTATTTCTATTAATTATTATATATATAAATATATATTCAAATTTATTATATTGTTAATGGCTACAATATTATAGTTGTAGGTTCCTCAATTGTTTTTAGACTTATAGTTTTTAAATCTTAGTATAAAATTAGATTGTTTATCTGCATATTGAGGAATCAATGTATTTTATATTCTTGTGTACAGGCTCCGGGAAAAATGGAGATTAAAATCAATAATTTAAAGAAATATGTCAGAGCATGCGGCATTCGTATTAACAATTACACCACCTTTTGGGAAGGGTGTAAAAACGATAAGCAGAAGGCAGACAAACTGTCAAAGGTGCTTGAAGACTTTGGCTTGAAAGGCAAGTTAACTTTAAAGATTTATAACATAGTTTTGTGACATAATGAAATACAGTAAACCTGAGTACCAAAAGCTATTATTGAATAAGTATATATTATTTATTTGTAAATAATTTGTTTATTTAATAACTTCAATTAAGTTTTGAAACACTTATTAGGGATTGTAGGTTTGGAAATTTTTCTTTCAACTTTTTACTTTCTTTTTTTAGTCCTTTTCATATTATTGTTAATGTTATTCTTCTTACATTATTCTTTTTAAATAATTTATGAATTTTAATTTTTGAGTTGTTTTAGAAAGAAAAAAATTCTTAAAATGATTTTAATTTGTACTATTTTCTGAACTCCTTCAAAAAGATATAATAAGAGACCTGTGAGGCAAGTTAATATTAATTAAAAAAAAAAAGGAAGACAAGATTAAATAACTGTGTTATTTCAGGGATACAATTTTGTTGCTTATAAAAATTGGCGAAGCAACAATTCTGTGGAAATTAGCTGTGATACCTAATCTCTCTTAGATTATGATGAATAATTGTGTGCTATACCACTATTATCGTTTGTATTAAAATGTGATGCAAATGAAGTTGAGGTAGTAGTTATGAATAGAGGGTGGCTTTTGATGACCTAATACATTGCCAAAAGTGATCAATAAAATTCTTTAAAAGTGTCCTAAAAACAAAGAAAATGTACTGTAAAAAAATTGATCAAAACCTTTTCAGATGAACAATTCAGACTGTTGGATATGTTGTTGATGTAATCGAGGCTTCTTCGTTTTGTTCAAGTAAACTCAGCTTGCAAACTTTGGGTTTGGACTGTTTATTAAAAGAAAATCTCTCCCTTTATCCCGAATTCAGCCGAACTGACAATGGCTCTGATAAGTGTCACAGGAACCTTCGATTACATAGTACTCGCAATGGCTGTATATTTATGGACGAAGAAATCGAAGAGGCTACTCAGGAATTCTATGAACATTTGTAAATATTGTTTGAAGCAAGTATCATTAAAATTATATTAAAATCAATGAAATCAGTAAAAAAAGAAAAAATGACTTATTAGTCTAAATTGATGAAAAATGCAAAAAAATTACATATAATAATTGGCAATTAGTTTTGTTATAACATAAAATGAATTTCTATACTAAACAGCATTGTTCTAAAGTGAAAAGAAAAACAATGACTTTTGTTAGAATCCGGTCTCTAGTTATGAATGAAACTTCACAAACTTTGAGTGTCTCTCATCATAGCTCTCCTGAAGATGGCCTGAAATATATTGATTTCCTGACATGTTTTATACTGAAGCCAGTGTAAGTTGTTTTGTATTGACAGATTACCAACTCTAACGGCAATAACAGTTGCATGGGTCACTGATTTGTTTCCAGTAATCAACTGTCTCTCAACATAATAGTAGTATCCTCTCTTAGCATTTTTCTTTTAGTTTGATTGATTTTGCTGACAGGATCTGTGTGTGACCAAACCCCAATAACCCATTGTGTGGGAAATGTTCAATCGAATTAATTTTGACAGTTGAAATTTGAGAAACTATGTATCTCAATTCTTCAAGAAATCAAATTGCATTAAAAGCTTGCTATAAAAACAAATTAATTAAAAGGAAAAAACTGCATGTAATACCCAAGAATTGACTATAAGATCTTCCTTCTCTGACTACTGTGACAATGCAGAAAATATAAGAAATGTATTTAAGATCTTTCAAAAAATGTGTCAATTGCACTGCAGTTGATAATTCACTCCTCAAACATTAAATTATTCTTCCAAGAGTATGATTTATTCATTATGTCAAGTTAATTTGAATAAATTTGAACTGTAAATTTGTCCTAAACAAGAAAAGAAAAATTACATTAAAAAATTTAATCAAAACCACTTGAGATGAACAATACAAGTTAATGATGCTTGATGGATACAAGTGTTAACAAAGGCTTTAAAGAATGAAGAACTGGAAATCTATTTGAAAAGTTAAGGTAATGGAAAATATTAAGCACAATCATATAAAACTCAGTTTACATGAAGGGGGGAAATTAATATAAAAAACATAAATTTGTGAATTGTAATAATCCATTGGTGAATTAAACGTTTTCTCTGCTGGGCTCAGAAAGTTAAGTTTTTGAATGCCAAAAAGCAGTAATGATTTACTATATTGAAAGTGCTTAAAGCAAAGTAACACATTAATCCTTGCTCTAAACTTGTTTTTTAAGATGGACAAATTTCTGTTATGTATGTGATGCCCTGTATGTTTTTGGTGTTTTAAGTATGTGTTTTTTTTTTGTTTTTTTTTACCTTAGGAAGACCATCATTACAGCGGTGCAAAAAGCTTCGCAAGAAAGCCGAGAGAAAGCGAGAAGTAGAAGAACTGGATCTTAGTAACATAATTGATACAGAAGGTTGGTTAATAGTTTCTTTTTATTATGATTGTGAAATATTGTGATAATTTTGTTTTTTAATTTACTTGAAAATAGTTTTATTTGCATTTGAGGAATTAGTAAATTAATTTAGAATACAAGAGAATATTTTTGTTGAATGTAGAATTTTGAAATTTAAATTCATTTCTTGAAAGTGTCTGAAGCACAATGAACAAAGCAATGACTTTTTTTTCTCCTTACTCTTGTACTTTCTATGTGCTGATATGCAAGTAAAAGATTAAATTTAATAGTGACATTTGTTGGGTATAATATACAACACTGACAATTGTAAAATTTATTTAGTAAGGTAAAAGGAGGAGAGTGACAGAAAACTTAATATTACTGGGTTTGGAAAAAAAAAAGAAAGAAAGAAAACAAAAACAAATTATACTGCTATTATTTTGCAATTAAATTGGTCTCTTCAGTAAAGAATGGAAATACGCCCCAAACATAAGATTGGAAAATTGAACACGTACCAGTGCAAAAACTACTCACAAGCTGATAATATAAATTTATATATGTTAATTACATATTATTTAAACAAATTTGCACATTTCTACTTCTAAGATTTCATTGCGACTTAAGTTATCTCAGATTGTTTGATATCTGTTTATTTCAGAGAGTTATGGACCCGTGAGCACCAAAGTTGAGAAATTCATGTCATTTCTGTTGCAGAGAATGCTGGTTATATCAGACGTCGTGGTTCAAGGAGAATGTCAATTAAGAGAGAAGAATCCCCTCAGGATCATGAACAGAAGGCAGCAGAAAGAGCTGCTGACTGGAAGCGGTCGTTCTCACGCATTAAAGACCTTTGTGATAGTGATTCTAGTTCAGGTTAAAGATGGAAAGAGAATTGAAGTGACTAACAGTTCGTTTTATTGTAAACCTAGCATTAATGCACAAAACTTCAAAAAATTATATTTTTGTTCTTTTAAATTTTAGAACATTGAGTCATGTTTTTACCTGTATGAAACGAACATTTTTATTTATCTCTAAAAATTGGTTTGACTATGCTCATTGAATTAATTTACTAGATTCATGTAACTACATGCATTGTGTTACCTGAATATATTTTGTGCCTGATAAAGTAGGAATAGTACCTCTGACACACTAGTGAAGTATTATTTATAGACTGCCTCATTTTGTTGTGTATGTATTTCAATGAATGGACAGTTGTGCAGTTCCAAAATTTAATTTCTGAGGAAGTAGTTATCACTTTCACTCGATTTCTTCAGATTGTAAACTCAACTTTTCTGATACTTGGAATCGTTTTATATACTCTATTTTTATTGACCATGGATTTTAAAATGGATATTTCATTGCATATACATAGTGTGTTTAAAAAGAAAATCTTTGTGTAACATAAGTTTTAAAAGTCTTCCTGAGTTAGTCTCCAACTAGTGATAAATTATGACTTGCTAATTTCACCAGTATCGTAGTGCAAACCCAGATTGTGGAACTTTTACCCTCAGTAAGGGCACAGCAGTACAGCATGTGACTGCATTAAGTACTGACAACATTTACTCACTCGCCAATCTATACAGATATTTCTTCAATATTGGCTTAACAATCAAACTTGTTCATAATTATGTTTTAAAATGTGGTAAACTATGCATAAAGAGTTAAACATGAAACCATGCACCCAATTTACAAAAATACACAAGACCACTGCACTAATACAATGACAATTCATTAGCCATTGATAGGCATGTATTTTTCCAAGTACTGTTTTTGATTGTAATATTTCTTTTAAGTTCAGATTTCATTAAAGATGTTAATACTCTACTGAAATGACTTCTAAATACAATCTCTACTGATCATTTCTACTAATGTCAGGTTGGACCGTATCTGAATGAGCATAGTAAAACCAATTTTCAAAAGACCATTACTGATCAGAAGGATCCCATGATTGAAGGGTTCAGAAGTAAAAGATGATAACTCGCCAAATTGTAGTTTTGGGACACTTGGGCTCCTGCTGCTTGTTTTTTATGCAGCAAGATACTCATGTAGTTCAATTTATATCCCAGATCGTCTGTTATTTATGTAAAACTGTGTAATGCACTCTCATTTGAAAAAGTGATCTGTATGGGCTATCATGGTTTGAACCCATTAATTCATATCTCCTTTGCAATTGTGACTTTAATGATATAAGAAATTCAGTGGTTTATAAATAAGCAAAGTTGTCAATAATGAGATTCCTTGTACAGTGGGTGGCCAAATTATTATCATCTGCATTCGTGAATCAAATTCAAATATCTTTAAATTGTATTTATTCATAGTTATATTTTACATACAACATCATGTTGTACACTAATATACAAATGTCATAGATTATGTAACACCTGAAATAAGGAAGGTAATCTTTTCTGATGCCACCTTTTCATTTGATCACTTGCAGTGCTCTTTTTGGTCTGCCTTCAATTAACTTTTTGACAGTCTCGTTGATTTGCAAATTATGGAACCTGAACAATGTATTCTAGATGAAATTTTTTCTGAATCATCTTTGTAAGAGAGTGGATTTCTCTACCAAAATCTCAAATGTTGATTCTTGTGAAAAACATTCTTGACAAACAGAAAAGGTTATGTTATCCATTTATTTAAGACTTTTGTTAAAGCTGTGAATACCTTGCTGTAGTAAAACCAATATGGAATACCTGATTCCAATCATCGGACATATGGTGATTATCTCTTGCTCATTGAAGTCTCTTAGATATCATAGCCTGAGTGAGTCTTGGCTTTTTGACCGGCCTATGGGATTTTATTCCTTCTAAGAGCTCCCAACATAAGGTATTTTCAGAAATTTGAATTCCGGAATTTTTAACCATCTTCATAATGACATCACTGCTCTTCTTTCTGCTATTCAAACATCTATCCTTGATCAGTAAAAACTAATGTTGAATTAAAGCTTTCATTTCATATCTTTGCTTCAGTGCAATGACTTTTATCTCACCCTTGTCAAATTTAGAAGAGTTGTAATATCTTTTACTATTTAGACTTGTGGGTATGTAAGTAGTTGTCCATAAATTACATAACGCTAAAGGGAGGAGGGGGCGTGGGGCAACGTTATGCTGGGTTACGTAGAGGAAGGGACTCTATTAGTGTTACTTAATATTGATATTTTTTAAACATTTTTTAAATACTTCCTTTTTTGAGTTTTTTACTAAAACAAAACTACATAATTTGTTTTAAAATATAAATAATTTAAAGTTATTAAACATTGTTACAATTAATGAAAATATTTTTTCATCGCTTTTTTATTGAGTCCGTAAGATTACAGAGAAAATATTCAAAAGTGATGTGTAGCATATTCTAGAATCCATGGCTCAGTAGACTCTTGCCCTTGTGACATCCACAACTATGTGTGCATGGCTTGTGATCACAACTTTTCTTGTTTATGCATTCTTTCACTCAAAATGTGCCCTCAATCTCATTGTTAGTTGCTGACAATATTAACAACAAATTCTGACCTTATTTATAAATTTTAATGTGCTGCACAAATAAAAAGAATACAATTTTTTATTGTGCTATAATTTATTTTCACTTGCATTTAAAAGGGCTGTGTTGTCATAGGTGTTACGTAAGTATTTAGGGGGTTCAAGCGCATGTTATAGGTGTGTTGCAGGGAGGAGAAGGGGATTAGAAAATACTCCAAATTTGCTTTATGTAATTTATGGATGGCCCCTAATTAAAATTGCATTGAATACATTAAAATAGCACCACTGTCAATACTCTATTACTACAATCAAATTTGCCCATTATTTCCTCATGTAATCAACAAAACATGAACATAAAATTGCTGCTAACTTGTTAGTGTGGCAGGCAATGATAAAACGGGTGTACCAGTTGCTTTAAGTGATTACCAAAAAGGAATCGGATGACAAAACTGTTATTGGCAATCCACATAATGATCCTTGTATAGTATAATAAATGGCTCGTATAAAAAGAAAAACTATAATAAAGCAAAATTGAAGTGATTATAATAAATTTTACCACCCACTGTATTTCAAAACTCATTTTCTAATTTTAAAAATTGTAATATATTTCTTCAGTATTTCTTGATTGAACAATCATTTATATTTTTATACATTCATACAAGATAAATTGCTTTATATGTGCTTATGTTTTATAAATTGTTCCCTTTGTGACATTCCTAACATTCCCAAATGAAGAAATCATTATCATTCAAATACATTCAAAAATTACTTGTTTTTAAAGTGAGGTAATCTGTTGAGCTTAACATTAGTAAATGAACATTCTAATTCTTGAACTAGGAGTATTTAAAAATGCTTATTGCATAGTTTGTTCTGTTTGTAATTATGCTCTTTCTTTATTAATAATGCAAGATCCTCAGTTATTTTAGTGATGTTAAGCAAGATGAGCATTTTTATTATTTCTTTTCATTGAAAAGTTGTTATAGCCAAACAATTTTCAGAGAATGTAATATCCCATGTTTCCAAATGTTTTCTTTCACAATAAAATATTTTCTATAGCTTATAGGCCATGTACATTTTTATTACTTTTAATTAACTTGAAGGTGGGGGAGACATTCAAAATAGAAAGTTAATCACAGAAGCGTTGAATCTGTGTGTTGAGAGATGTTACAAAGGGGTGGGGAGGGAGTAAAACATACACACCCTTATAGCTAGACAAAACCTTTGACTGGTTGACAAATTTTGTGGTGTCTATAATTTATCTTCCGAACATGATGTTAAATATTATTGTATTCCCATTTTACGTTACTGACTGGTTCTGTTTTTCATAAATATCATTCATCCTTGTTTGCCTTCAAATTTCAATTGAGCATGCACTGATAAGTTTCAAGAAAAATAAAACTATAATAATCCTCAATGTTCAGATGTTCCTATTCATTTTCATATCTCAGTACACTTTTATTTATATAAGCTGCAGTGATAATTCTCAGAATTTTGTCTTTTAAAATTTAGATAAAGATCTTCATTGTTTCATGTTTACAAGAATTGGGAATTGTCTCAATATTAAATGAAGTACAAAAAATGTTGGTGACATAGATTCTCTTGTTAATTACTGCAATTAGTGAGTAGAAGAGTAACTGTTAATATAAACCGTATATAGGCCTCAAGGGGGCAATATCACGTTTTTTCGAGTGGTTGTGTGTTTTGTTGTACATAGTGAAAAGATGAGTAGGCAATGTTATAATATTGTATAAAGTTATTTTGGTCATGTATGATTTTTATTCTTTTGTTTTCCATATATTTTTGGAGAGATAATTTTGTTTGTAATAATAAATCTAAATGGATCTTTTCACAATTAAAGCATTTTCCATTTGGATTAAATGAATATTACAGAGCAGCATTTTATCAGATTATATCAACACCATGTATTATATTAATTTTTGATCAATTTCCAAATGTGGATTGGTGAAAAGGATTTTTTTAAAATGAAATCTAATGTGTAGGTTTTTCATGAATTGTTACAGTTGTGTTTGTAAATGTTTGTACCCTAAATTTATATATTCTGCTTGAATCTTATCATTTTAGAATTTTTTTGTTATTATTGTAGATCCGTTGTTGTTTCACATTACACAGAAAAATATATAATATATATTTACTTATTTATTTATTTATTTATTTTTGCTGGAGTATCGGAATTACTATGGCCACATCAATAAGTGTTCTTGCCTTATTATATTGTCAATATTATTCTTTACTCCTATCTCGTTATTTGATTCATACTCCGTACTTCTCTTATTTTCAGTTACAGAAGTTTCTGATGTAATTGCGTTTCACAAACCAACACTACCTCATTATGTTGTTGTATTGCATGCTGTCTGATATTGCACTGTTTATGGAAAGTTTATGAGTCAGTGGTCAATTTTTGGACAAACTGAAAGGCAATTGAGAATTGCTAAAACCTGTGAATTGCTAGACGAGATAGTTTGTGGTGTATTACCTGATAGTAAGGCAACATTTTTTCCTAGGTGGCATTTAACCTCCCCTTGTTACAGAGTGGACATTAATATTTAGGACTAGGACAGAGAAGGTTCAGTTTAAGATTATTTTAAACAAAAATCAGTTATTTAATTTCATAAGCATTTGACTTAAGACTTTTAAATCAAGAGTTAAAATAATAATCAATAAGTAATTTTAATGATCTTATCTATACAAAATTCTTAATAATGTTCATGTCCACATATTAGGCTCATTTAATAAATTATACATCCAAAAAGAAATCAACAAAAAAATAATGAACGTAAATTAATGGAAGTAAAGAAAATATTTTATTATTTGCAATAGTACTGTTTTTGGACAATGGTGACTTGGGCTTTGGTTGAGCAGCCCCAAAATAATCCTGAAATACTTTCATGGAATATATATATTTTCCAATTAATTTCATTAAGTAATCGAAAAATTGAACTGTTATCAATTAATGAAATCGAAGAGCATCTGTCGAGCATGTAGAAAAGTTCATACAAGTAGTAAATGCACGAGTTCTGTTCCCGAGTGCGAATTTCCTACAGTGCTATCAAAAACCTAACACAAGCTTTCAAGTTGAAAGGTAAGTGATTGAGGAAAAAATTCCTCGGTCACTTACCTTGAGAAAAAAGTTTTTTTCTCAACGAATGTTGTGTTTGCCACCTCAAAAACGATCGAATTCACAGAGAAATTCGCAAAAAAACTCAAAACACTTCGATACTTACAAAATCATACTTTTCAAGAAGTCGTGCTTGAAGTACTTTTGGATGAGAAAGAAAATCACCTTCACATTTATCAATTATTCAATGGTAAATTGGTATTTCACGTCACTATTTAGTATCATAATTAGTATTCCACGTCACTTATTAGTGGCAATTTGTTCACATTATATTTATGAGTATATGTGCTTTGAATAATGTCACATAAAGATTCTCGAAAACTCAACCGTTTTCTGTCAAAACTACCTCAAAATCTTGCAATTTCAGAAACGCTGTAAACGCCATTTTCTCCAAAACGGCTGTAAATTGTTTCTTCAAATTTTTCGAAACGATAGTGCTAATTCCACTTTTAAATATGACGTAAAGTTCATTTCGGGGATTTTTTTTTTTTAAATACACAAATGTAATTTTTTTGAAAGATCTCTTACGCTGGTAATACGCACATTTTCAGCACTTTGCAAACACGCCATTTTCTTAAACAAACACTACAAATAAAAAAAAAAGACATTTAGGCCGAAGTTTTACTGTTATTTAATATTTTTAAAAAATATATCTGTTCTGCTGTTAGGAAACCGAAAAATTAAGAAAATTTAAAAACAATGTACTTTGGGCGGTGATAGATGGCAGCAGGCAAATATGTGGCAAGATCGAATAGCTAGCCGAGACCGAAGGAAATAGAAAACTAATTTGGGAAAGCCTGCCATTCTGTAGCATCACTAGTTCGTCAGTCATTTCGCGTAGATTCTAAGGCGAACTCTAATTATAGTTTGTGTTAAGTTTCGTTGTTTGTTAATCATCATGATGATTAGCGTTTCTTCCTGCTACTGGTGCTGTTTGTGAAGTGGAACCAACAAATAATCTCAAGCCAACGTGCTTCACATTTTGACAAAATAATATTGAATATGGCTCTTTGGACTGTGTCACACGAGCGTTGCGTCGACGTGCGTTGTAGATTAACCCTTTAAGCGGAACGGCCAAAGCACTTGTGTGCCGTTTCTCATACGGTAGTGTTATTGTACCACGCGCGTTAACGCAACGTTCGTGTGCAGGGGCCCTAAGAAATGAAGTTATGAATATGCTAAAAAATTCACACTAAGAGCATACATACCTGAAAAAATTACACATCATTCATTATTCAAACGGTACTAGGCTACTGAAATTTCGAAATGAATAATGTTAATTCATTATCCTCATTTACCGCAATAACAATACAAATTATGGAATGAACTAATGTCAAACATGTCGAAACTATAGTGCTTGTTGCGAAGTGCATTCACCGTATTTTGGAATCCTAGTCCGTTTTTATTTCTGAATTCTATAACTGCAATTACCTCAATACAAAAACTGGATTGTGCATGGGAATCAAACCGGAATCGCGTACTCTGGAAGTGTGCAATCTCGACATTTGAAACGTATCAAAATATGTAAGTAATGTTTGAATATGGACTTTTATTAAACCTAGTTGCTTACATTTTATTACGTATTAGTGTTCGGATATTTCAAAGTTACTTCCCGACATTCGAAGAAGCTGCTACTCCCGTGGCGCATCAGCCGCCATCAAGAAAGTTAAGATAAACAATACCAGATGTCCAATAAGTGCAGGAAAAGCTAATTCGCAATACATGCGACAGTCTTATGGTACATTTTGGTAAGAGAGTAAGTAATTAATAAGATATGTTCTACTTTGAATATAACAAGAAAAGAGACGTGAATAATAAAAGAATGCAACATTGATGTGTATGGAGGTTTGCTTCTTCGTTTATGAGTATTGTAATATTTATATGTCCACCAAATTGTTTAGCAAACTGTTGTTGATTATTTCATTTTTCCGGGCGCGTTAACTAACATAGTCATTCGTCCCGTAAGTGTAGTCATTCTACTTGTTTGTTTATCACGGTAGGTGACAGTGATCTTCTCCCGCTGGTTGGTGAGATCCAGAGGCTGCGGGGCTTTTCCTCCAACCAAGTATCTGCCACCAGCGGTGCACCGCCTCAGCCAGGACAAGCTCTAAGCGCACGTCCGGTCTTTCTGTATGTGGGGTAGTGTAGAGCATGTAAGAGTGTGAAAAGTGGCGACCAGAAGAAGGGCAACGTGCCCCAGGCTCCGACTTAATTGGGCCCTGATTTTATTCATTTAAATGAAATTTAAAAAAAGTGTTAATCTCCAATCCAAATTTATCGCTCTAAGTTATTTCTGATGTATGGAGAAATGAAGTCTGTCTACGAATTGATGAAGAAGCAAATGTTTTGTTTGAAATGAGAGCCCCCATGGATCTTTTCAAATAAACTATGGATTATCAGTTTTTGCACCTGAGGTAATCTCGGACCCCAATGACAACGGATACTCGCACGTCTTTATAGAAACTAACATTTGTAAACATTTAGAATGTTCCTGTTTTTTTTTTAATACGCAAATACATACCGTTGATAAATGTTGAACAAAAAATTTTTTTTTCCGTGTAGTGAACTTATCAAAACGTCTTTTTATAAGGAAGATAACTAACGTCTTGTCGTAAACAAAAACAAGAACTTCTGAAGCCTGTAACTGCAAAAACCGTCGGTAAAGCACCTTCAAACGGCTGCTCCCTTCCCGGCTCACCCCTTCCACTTCAGAATTTATAGTATGTTATGGA